GTCAAAGGTCATTTTGGAAATATGACTTTATTTTTAGGTTATTCATGCATATATCCTCAGAAACAAAATTAATTCAATAAAATCAAACAATTATGAATCAAATCAAATTTTAAGGACCAAAATGAAATCTATTTTATATTAGAATTATTTGTTTGAAATTGAGGGTATTTTAGGTACTTTCAAAATTTAAAATGGTCAAAGGGTATCCAAAAAATTTGGGCATTTTCATTAATTTCCCATAAAAATAAGCCCATTGAAATTGTAGTAAGGACCAATAATGCATCTACCCTTTTAAGTGAAATGGCTTGGATTTTTCCGGAGGCAGTGCGCACTGGTGGGCCCCTTTAATCAAGCATAAGATCTTAATAACTTGTAAAAATCTGTCCACACGTCAATCATCAAGCATTACTTGACTAAATCCAACAAAAATTTCAAGGAAAAATTCAAAATCACTGGATCGATCATCATTCATACTGTGATTTTGTAAAATAACACAAGGATAATGTACAATCCATGCCCTCGAGAAAACAAAAGATATCGCGACCAGTAGTTTAAACCCCAATTCTAATTGGTAAGTCATTTTCTGCTCAAAATTAAGGATCGAAATTGAAAAGATCGAGAATCAAACATAGAGAGTAGAGATGATCAATGGAGTAAAATGATTAAACCTAATTATTTCAAAGGTAGTTTCAATTTAACGAAAAACAAAAGAGCCAACCAAGAACCACCTCTCATAAATCCTAAAACCAAAAAGATAAGAAAAGATCAGAAGCCACCATTGTAGTAGAATTGATAATTCATAATAGATCTAGGACAGTTGACCACAATCAGCAACCACCACTGGCTTTGCAGTCTTTCCAGAACCAGATCCAACTTTCTCGATGGTTTTTACCACTTCCATACCCTCAACTACTTGCCCAAACACAACGTGTTTACCATCAAGCCATTCTGTTTTCGCAGTACAGATGAAAAACTGAGATCCGTTGGTTCCAGGTCCAGCATTGGCCATGGACAGAATACCAGGACCAGTGTGCTTCTTCACGAAATTCTCATCGGCAAACTTGGATCCATATATGGACTCCCCACCGGTGCCATTTCCGGCAGTAAAATCGCCTCCCTGGCACATGAAATTCGGGATCACACGGTGGAAAGTGGAGCCTTTGTAGTGAAGTGGCTTGCCGGATTTTCCAACGCCTTTCTCTCCGGTGCAGAGAGCGCGGAAGTTCTCGGCGGTGCGAGGGACGACGTCGGCGAACAGTTCCATCACGATCCGGCCGACCGGTTGACCGCCAATTGTCATGTCAAAGAATACCTTAGGGTTTGCCATTGATTCTTGATGATATTGATCTTTCGATTTGTTTACAGGTGCATAGGGTTTATGCGAATAAGAGGAGTTTATATAGGAGAGAGGGAAGGCGCGATTTTAGATGGAAAGATAATCACAGCCGTAAAATCGGGACGCGTGTCGTGATCCTGAGATGGGTTTATAAAGGGTAGGACTTGCGCAGGAATTACTGCTGTTCAGCTTATTTACCGGGGTTAGTTTTGGATTTTATGGATCTATCATCTATCCAACATAATGGATTACCGTGAAAATTATAATGAACAGTGAGGTGAGCCTCACAAAAATGGGTAGATTGTGATGTACAGTACAGGGCCTAATGAATGTAAATTTAAAATTAGTACACATAGATTATAGGGAAAAATTCATATATAAAGTATGTTCTTTACCTCAATTCAAAAGTAAGGTAAAATAGTTTGAAAATTCAAAAATCAGATATGAATTTAATTAATTAAAAATATTTATTAAATAAAGATAATAAAGTCACAGTTTATGATTACTGGTCACATATTCATAATTATAAGTTACAG